GAGATGTCAGAGAAATGTGCAAAACATTCACTCCCTTCTGTACCTTCTGCCAGCTTAAGAGATGAGGTAAACATATGTTGGTCTGTATGGTGGGAAATGATAGTCATGTAAGGAATGGGACCTTACACAAGTTATGGAACAAAAATGCTGATAAAAGTCTGATAGAAGCAAAAATAGTGAATGAAAGGCAAAAAATAATAAATAAAAAGAATGCAGACAATTTTATTGCATCCAGAGCAGATAAAGCAATGTTACCAGTTTATGGGATGGCAGAAGGACACCTCTCTAAGATACTAGTGAAGTAGCAAAGGTGGCTCCCAGCATCCAAATTCCAACCACACTCCTAACACAGCCCGACATGAGGATTTTGGGCCTCTTCTCAAAAGGCTGCAGGGATGGCTGTGAGGGCCCCAAATAACCCCCCACAAGGAGGAGCAGTGAGTCCCCTCTGTGGGAGGAGCTGCTGAGGACACAGGCTGGTTGTGGGGTATGTGGCAATAGGATGGAGCTGCATAGGAGAGAAAGGTATTAATTCACCTTCTTGCTTTGTGTAGTTATTTTTCCTGAATACATAATAAAATATCTTATTTTAATAAGTGGCACAAAAATTCTAACTTAATACTGAAGCAGATTAAGAGATTTTTGGCTTAGATTTTTATTGTTACAAATAGAGAGTTCTTTTCCCTCATGGTCTGCTGCAGAATATTAGAAGACTTTCTTGCAGGAAAGGGGTGGAGGGAGGCTGGCAGAGCAGGCAGGTAATCTGTAATAGCTGAGAAACAGAAGAAGAAATGGCATTGTACAGGAATAGACTAAAATCTACTGTGGGTGTCAAAAACAGGGATGTAGTAGCCAGGTGAAGGGTGATTCTGATTTGTGAGAAATATATTTGCAGTGTTCTGAGTTAAAAAACCCCCAGCAAAACCTAATGAAAACACACAGAGAATGAAGACAGAAATGGGGACAGAGGTAGTAAAAAAAAAATTAATAAGGATAGATTAAGGAAAGTTTTATTTATTTTAACTTTCAGTGACAGCCTAAGTAAACAGCCTGGCCAAAATTCTGTTATATTCCTTCTGTAGCTCCCTACCATTAATGTTAAACAGCAAAGGTAACTGGCAGCTCCAGTTGTTGACTTGAAGTCTGTGAAAAAGACCAGTCATTTATCAGAGAGACAGTCTGCTTGTCAGCCCAGGCTGCCTGGCCTACAGGAGGGCAGGTCAGCTTTGGGGAAGAAGGGTAAGAAATCCATAAAGCAGAATGTCACAGTTAAGGGCACATGGAGGGGGGAAAAGAGAAGACTGGAATGTAAGGAGGGAAGATGGTGATAAGCTGGGAGCAGCAGAGCTTGCACATACTCCTCACATGTATGGCACAGCACAGCCCGGCACGGCACAGCCCAGTATGGCACAGTACAGCCCGGCACGGCACAGCCCAGTATGGCACAGTACAGCCTGGCACGGCACAGCCCGGCACGGCACAGCCCAGCATGGCACAACACAGCAAAGCCTGGCATGGCTTGGCACAGTATGGCACGGGGTAGACTGGCATGGCACTGCCCAGCCCAGCCCAGCCCAGCCCAGCCGCATCCTGCACGGCTTAACACAGCCCCGCATGGCACAGCCTCCCTGAGCCCAGCCCAGCATGGCTTGGCACAGCCCGGCACAGCACAGCACAATGTGACACAGCACAGCTTAGCACGACATGACAGAGCTTCACACGGCACAGCCTCCCACCCGCCCGGGCAGCCCCAGCCTGGGCAGCCCCAGGTCGGACAGTCCCTCCACCATCACCCTCCCTCCACCCAGGCCCTACCACGTTGGTGTCCTTCTCCAGTGCCTGCTCGTTGCCATCGTCCTCGTCACCAGTGCCCGAGGGGCCGCTGCAGTCCAGCCGCACCAGGGCCCGGCACCGGTAGTGGCAGGTGAAGCTGCAGTCTGGAGACAGGGACAGGACAGGGGGTCAGCGGTGCCACCCATCCTGTGGTACCCCAAATTCAGCTGGTGGGATTTCAGGGTACTTTGTGTTCAGTCTCCACTGAGGGGCCTGGCCCGAGCTGTCAGGGTTGGTGGCCATGCCAAGAAGGGTATTGGTGCCCAGTGGGTGCCACTGGTGCCTGGTGTGTTGTGCCAGTACCTGTGCCTAGTACCCATGGCTGCACAGCACCAGGGCTGGTACCCAGTGCCTGGGATGCCACTGTGCCAGGTGCCAGCTGCCTGCCCATACCATGCTGGTGCCCCAGGGGCAGCACTGTGGTACCTGTGCTCCCTGCCTGGGCTGACCAGGGGGCTGCCCAGTATAGGGATGCCAGTGCCCAGTGGAGGTGCCCAGTGCCCACGTCTGGTGCCTGGTAGGGGTAACTGGTATCGAGATGCCCATGCCCAGTGTGAGTGCCCATGTGAGTGCCATGATGGTGGGTGTCTGGTGCTGGGATGCCCATGGCTAGTGCCAGGATGCTTGTGCCCAGTGCTGGAATGCTTCCTGCCCACTGCAGATGACAGGCACTGGGATGCCCAATGTGTGTGCCCAGAACCCAGGAGGGGGTCCAGTATGAGACTGGTCAGTGCCCAGGGTATGTGCTCAGTTCTGGGATGTCCATGCCTAGTGGGGGTGCCTGGTACCAGGATACCTGGTGCCTCCTGGGGGTAATTGGTACCAAGATGCCTGTGCCCAGTGGGGCGCCTGGTACCGGGATGCCCACTGCTCTGTGGGGGTGCCTGGTGCTGGGACACCTGGTGCCCGGTAATGGGATGCCTGTGCCTGGTGAGGGTGGCCAGTGCCTGGTGGCAGGATGCCCGGTACTGGAATGTCCGGTGGGGGTGCTGGGTGGCAGGACGGCTGGTGCACGGTGGGGCTGCCGTCGGTGGGTTTCCCGGTGGCGAGATGCCCAGTGGGGGCGTCCCAGTACTGGGATGCCCTGTGCCTGGTGGCAGGATGCCCGGTACCGAATACCTGGTATCCAGTAATGATGCCTAGTGCTGGGATGCCCGGTGCCCGCTGGGGAGGTTCCACGGGGGTTCCCCGTGGCGGGAGGCCCTGTGCCCTGTGGGGGTGCTCGGTAGGGAAGCCTGGCGGCGGGATGCCCGGTGGGGATGCGGGCGGCGGGAGCCCCGGGGCA